ATCGAATCGCGGACGCTCGTCGATCGTTTTCTTCATATTCACGAGAGTCCATGTTACTATTCGTTATATAAAAAGTAAAATTTTGAATACGAACAGTTCGAAATACATCGAGTCGACAGGTATTCGAGTTCCTTTTGAGTTTCTCGATACACAGTCGACGGGAAACGTCCCCGAAACTGTATAAATCGAATCCACGCGGTGTATAAGCAAATTCAAGCATTATTCATGTATGCGCTACGGTAGCGCACTAAATTTCGTCACGGCGCCGGAAGGTCATGCGGGAGACACCCTCTCGTAACTCCGGCTTTTATGCCTTTTTTTCGCGGCAGAAGCGTGTCATATGTTCTTGCCTCCCTCTCTGGCCATAAAAAGTAACGACGAGCTTCGAACCCGGCCGCCCGAGCATCAGCGATTTGTCAATCGAGCCCGAACGTTTCCGGTCCTGTCCTCTCGAGCGACACCGTGACCGCGGTAAGTGGGTTAATACGCCCACGATCCACTGCAAATCTTCCAAATAATCAAAACACCAGTTTGCAGAATTGTACAAAATGCTTCCCGAGGCGAAAAGAAATCGAAAAGCCCACCATTTTGCCATTTCGAGGCTTCAGAAACTAAACTGAAAGAAACATCCAAACGATTGACACGCGATACTAACGCTGAGTGCATATATAAGCTAGATTCTTTTTATTTCCGCGAACGTGGCGACGCTAGAAAGAGGGGGTGGGTTCGATAAGCTCGTTTATTAAATCGTCTTCGTAGTACAGAGGAGAGCGTTCCATGAAAAATTCAAATTCGGATCCTGAAGCGATGACGAGGCGACGGGGGCCTAGCTTTTCAACCCCTGTGCGTGACGAGGCGGGTTTGTTTCACGCCGCGAAACCGAGATGTACCCCCCTCCCCTTCGTACGGGGCTCATAATCAAAACTGCATTAAAATCCTGAAAGCGGGACGAGGGCTCGGTGAAAAGTGTTTTGTCATCCAGGGGTGGCCGCTGCGCAACAATATGCTCCGCCCTGCGCGACGAAAGGGGCAGAGGAGCGAGCTGCGAGGAGTTAGGATGCCTCGTTGCATCGTAAACCGATAATTTTAGTGGGCCGTTACGATAGCACGGCGATAATAATGCCGTAAAAAGCTCGTCGGCGTCGCCAGTCCCGCGAAAATAGAGCGTTCAATCGTTGATTCCTTTTTCCTCCGGGCCTCTCGATCGAAATTTATGATCGGAACACTACTCATACGTCTTCCAGAGACGGGGAGAAAGAGGCCACCTGAGGGACCGTGTAGCGTCCAAAGTGGTTTGTCTAATTGCGGGTCGTTCGGTAGCCTCGCTTTTACTGCGATCGTAAAATCGATTTCTTCTTCGCTTCGTGGGTGTATCGTCCGCGTGAGGGAGTGAAGGGAGATCGATTATCGGGGAAAAGAAATTTGAGAATCTGTGACACGACGCAATGATCGTGAGTTTCACAAAATCGAGGCTCGCCAGCCGCTGCCACGACAGTGAAATTTTATTCCGTTTCCCGGTGCGTCCAGGTTAAGTTTTCCCCCGAACGGGCAAGATATTTTTGTCGGTTTTCCGGCTCGGCCACCGTAGAAAAGAGAGGAAAGATTGGGGGCAGTTGCCGCTGCTTCTGTTTCCGTCTCTCTCCCCCTCTGTCAGCGTCCCTCTTCTCCTTTGGCCAGGGGCTGCGCGCCATTGTTCGGGCGATATTTCAGCCACGGGGGTGGTTGCCAGGAGGGCGGCGCGGGGGCGGGCGACGGTAGTCAGCTGGCTGTGACACGCTGCCTACGCCGCCAAAGGGGAACCAGAGGCGTTTAGGAGTATTTGGGGGCTGGGAAGGGGCCCTCGGTTTATACAAGCAGGGATACTCTTTCATCCAACGATAGCCGAGGCCTTGACTTTGAAGGAAGCCTGTGTGTTGCCGATCCTCTTGCCGCTTATGTACTCGTTCCGCTCGTTTCTGGGTGACGGTGGCTCTGTTCTAGGCGGTCGGTGGCCGTAGAATTCGAAATTTACTGTCCCGTGTCGCACGATATCTGTGTTATAAAAGCAGAAGCGTTTTCGAGTTTTGGGATCACGAAATTGATCGGTATCGAAATTCCCCGGTGTTCGTTGTTGGTCTAAATTCAAACTTGAGTATTTTATCTGACGTTCTGGTGAAACAAAACTATATTGTTAACACGTTGACTCCTACGTCGTCTCAGAACTTGTCTGAATCTCAAATTGAAATGTTAAAGAAAATAAATTTGATTGGGATTCATGAATTTTAATCACTGATTGGTTACTAGTTCTTGATGTTAAGTTTTACAATCATGAGGTTACCCAAGGGGTTAATGTGGCTACGAAAATAATTACTAAGAGTGTCTCTAATCACTGTCACTAACTTGTCTAAAATCACAGTTTTGGCCTGGCATAAATTTGGACGATTTAAATCTAGACGTAAGCAAATATTCAATCAGCTTCGTTTTACAAATATTGTTGTATTTTCCATATTTAAATTAAATCAATCACCGGATAGTCCAAGGAATGAAATTTCAAAGTTGATCAAATATATTCGTGTATCAGACTACTAAAATCAGCATCGTCAACAAAATGAATTCCCAAGATTAGACGTTAAAGAAACTGTAAATAAGACTGTAAACATAAATTCTATGAGAAATTGTGGGTAGTTTTCACCCATCCAAAAACAAAGTATCCCCACGGCCATTTTGGGAAGTTTAACAATGGACGCGTTAAAAGAATTGCGTATAATCGTCGAAACAGCTGCCATCAGAATGCAAGATCCTACTGGAGCCGACAACGGCGCTTCGATTTCCCCATCCCCGGTATCGACGCCCCCGCATTACCATCGATATCGATACTCGCGACGCGTTAATCGAACGCGAAGTCCCTAGTCGGACGTCTTGGAGTCCCTTAGCCCGTTCGGTCCAGTCGATCGCGACCGACAGTCCTCCATAGGAGACTTTAATAATCATTATTCATAAGACTGGATCCCCGGGAGTCGACCAGGCGTAATACCAAGCAAGAAAGATGCGCCGCGAAACAAGAGAAGGGGCCGTGCAGCTGCGCCCTCTCCTCGTCGTCACGGAACCATGGTTTTCCAGGACGAGAAGGGGGTGTGCTCTCGAGTCAGTCGAGCAGAAACCCAATCACTTCCGGCGTCTGCGCCCATTAGGGCGCCGCGACGCTGACGTCGGCTGACGTACGCCGTTTCGCCCGTCTTCCTTTCTCCCGCGCGCCCTCCGGCTTCTCCTTCGGTTCCCTTTCCATCCCCCACCCCCCCTGCGATCGCCTCCGCGCGGCAAGCCCTCCTTTGGACCTCTGGCAGCCTCGAAATAGACCGCAGATCTATTGTTTGGAAAGCGCTCGCACGGAAGCTCCTTCACCGTGGCTAATGACGTATCGAGGATGCCTTGCTTCTTGCTTCGTCTCTCTCCAGCTTCTTCCGACAACACGCCGCCCCCTTTTTATTCGTTGTTAGCTAGATAATAGGTCGCGTCGTACTCGGGTTTCCGTGGTCGGAGGCTGGGGGGGGGACGAGCTTGCGCCCTGCGGCCGCCTCGGGGAACAATTTTTACGCTGAAACGGAGACGCTTCGAATCTAATATGCGAGGGACTCGAGTCTACAGAAATATTAATTTATTGTATAGGTATTCAAATAATAAGTACAGTAAAATAGATCAACAAGAATTAAAAATAGTATAGTTAACGAGGCTCGGTGAATTTTAAAAAAATTCATTCCCTACGACGCCACGTAATTTTAGAATTTTTAAAAATCTTATTCTAAAGAAATGCTAACAGACACATCTTAATAATACCACCGACAAATGAAAGATATCAGATTTGGTTTGATCATAAATTCCATATTACATTTTCGCAGTAGAATAGACCCACGATGGGTCGGACCAACGAAGATACAACTCGTAGCTCGCGACTGAAATATTTTTCGATCCTCCACTGAACGTTCCACGTTCCCTCGCATAATATTAATCGCCATTTAGCGCTTGGAAATTCTTACTTCGTAATAATAATTCTGTAGCGGAGAAAATATTTAAAACGATGAGAAGGGAATGGTAAAGGTGTCGATCGGAGGAACGAGGTGTAGGTGATCGATAGAGGGAGCCGAAGTTCGATTCGTCGTAGTTCCCTTGCACCTGTAGTCCTCTTTCGGTCGTGCATTTCGCTCCGGCCACTTCGTCAAATTAACATACACGATTCGGCCGGAAATTACGTCCGACAATTACGGACCTTACGCCGATGAAATATCGACGGTGCCGCCCCGACCAGCCAAATTGAGATGAACGATACATTCGACGTACGTACGCGCATTCTGACCGAGCTTTCGACCTTATCGCGTCGATCGCCTAATGCCCGCTACCCGTGATCCAGTGATCTACATAATGAGTCATGAATACGTCTGGCTACCTGACTGGAATCGTTATCTCTGATTAACCGAATAGATTCCTCGCTAGAGACGCCAGGGCCCTTGAAACGCCCTGGCGGTAAATTAGCGATTCCACATTAAGATCGTCTCGCGATATTAACTCTTTCACGGTGCAATTTTTCTCCTGGAAACGAGCGCCCTATCCTCGCGAACCGAATTGAGAAATAATGGCGGCCGACGCGCGAACGTCCGCTTGAATATGCGTGCGTTTTAAACGCTCCTTACCCTCCTTTCGCTTACGTCTTCTTCGGTGATAATTAGTCGGAACATAGCTTCATTCGTGGCTAGAAAAAATGGAGGCAAAGTATAGAGCAACGGGTGCTCGTTTTAATTAAGATGAAGATGATGGGTCGAACGAGGTCGGAACGTTTAAAACATACGCGTAGTTAAACACAGCTTTTGCGGATCTGCATCTTACCCGCACTTGTTACGTTCTTGCAACCTCGAATTTAAAATTATTTTGGACGCATGAAGTCGAGTTTCTTTAAAAGAGAGAGAGTAGAACAGAGGAACCTTTAATCATTGGGGTTTGTTTTAATGTTAGATCTTTGTGTGTTTCAGGTTCATCAACGCGAGGCGTAGAATCGTCCAGCCAATGATCGACCAGAGCAATCGAGCCGGTAAGACGAGCCCCATTCTGTCAACAGATCCTTACACACACACATACACCGTCGAAGACGCGTATAATTTCATGTCACCTGTGCCGGGCATGCATCACGGATACGTTTATCCGGCTTATCACGAGGATTACACACACGGTCCTTATCGTTTGACGTAGATCGATGCGTCGAAACGAAGGAATTTAGCGTCCCCTATGCATACGAGTGCTCGTCGAATCGACCAATGTCTTAATTAAGCTAAGTTCCCCCGAGAACGTTTTTGTTTTGGGTGTACGTTCGAACGAACGTAAACTCTGATAAATTTTATGAAACTTTATTATACGAATTTTATATTAATCACTTTAATCTTTATAACATTCATACGATTATAACGATGTTTTTCTGTTGCCTTTTAAATAATTTTAAACTTACTCTCTATTATTAGAAAAAATTGTTTTATCTTTCGTCGCTCTGGAACATTGTAAGAATGTTTGTTTCTATATCTTTTCTAGTTAAATCTTTTAAGTTAGTTCGATGATTGTGTACTCCTTATAATTTTAGAACTTATCGTCGCCTTGTTAGCGTTGATTAGAAGTATTCTGGAAAACTGGCAATCACGTCGCCAGTTAATTCGAGAAAGAATTGACCGCGACGTGTTGCCTGTGCAATTTATGTAACGGGTGCTCGGAAGTCCTCGGCGTCTCCAAGTGCCGCATCCACCTTGATCATTTATTAATAAACTAACCGTCTGAACCTTATTAAAGCGTTGCTGGTTTTGTTCCCTTGGAGTCAATCGTCCCCGTTAATTCGTTTATAGCTGTTCTCCAATCTTTTCTGTCCTGTTGTCAATTTCCTTTCGTAATATCGAACCAGCGATATCGACGTTGAGAAATGGGGAGAAAATAGAATAAATCCTTTCTATATTAATGTTAAAATTCGATATATCGTTGATGTTAAATTCAGGATTTAACTATTCACGGTTCCTCGTAGAATATATATTATCCAAAGTGTTCTTCAAGAATGTGTTCACGATTAATTGGACGACGAATACGGTGGCTTTGAAGAACGTTCCCCGCGGCGGAAAATATTTATCCAGATAAAACGAGGGTCGCTGTATCGCGATACACCCGAGCCGACGCCGACCAATTTAACGCGACGCCCCCGCAGCCATCTTCGACGACGTTCGAGCCGCCGAAAAAAGCAAACAGAAGGGAAGAAAAACACCGACCCCCCCCCCGGGTTTCCGGGCCGTGTAATCTGTAAAGACGTCGCGTTTACGAGGAGGGAATCACTTCGTTTGCAGTAAAAGGCGACAACAACGGTTACCTAGCCGGATCGGGGGGGTTGGAAGTAACGTCGCTCTCTGGGGTTCAAGGGTTCGCTTGTGATTCGGATGATGGCGGGAGGGCTGTTTCGTGAAGGCCCAGGGTGAGCAGAGGTGGATAACGTCCCGGATAACGTTCGGATAACGGCGGGATAATTGGTAGCGGTGATCAGACCGAGTTTTACGAGCAGCCAACATGCCCCTCGCCTCCTTCTTCGACACGAGACGGTGTCTTTTCCGGCCTTTCTTTGTTTCCTGGCACCTGGTCCGGTTAAACGGGTCGAAACTGGCTCGTATTTTTACGATTGGCTCCCTCGTGCGAGTTACGGGCTGTTTGCTATGAAGAAACTGTCCGCGAAAAGCTTTTCCCCCGGGGAATCTCGAGTTTATGTATCCTCAAAAATTGTGTACCAAATGTACTCTAGAGGGACTGGTGATCGTAGAATTATTTGTTTTGGTCGATTATAATAGTTAAAGTATGGTAAGATCGATGGAAAGTGGATAGTACCATTCGGGGTAAAGACAAGTAGAAATATCGGATAATGGTCAGACGCAACTTCGAGATCGATTATCTTGAAAACAAAGACTCTTGCAAAAAATTTTATTCTACATGTTCGGTGCACTTCTGCACAAGGAATTGCCCTATGGTCGGGTAAAATTCGTCTCTGTCAACGTTAATAATTTACAAGCGTGAGAAGCCAATTTTAAGTAGAAATGACGCGATGTGGTCAGGCGCTGTGCTGAATTATTGAACGATCCGTTTTAAATCTTTTTCGTGCGGAAATTCGATACAATTTTGTTACGTAAATTAATAGTTTACTTTCTATGGAATGGACAGTGTATAATTTTTAGCAAATTCAATAATTATATTTCACATTTGGACAAGGAGCTTTGCCCTCATGAAAGTCGAATGTTCGAAGGTACTTTTAACAATATCATAAAAATGAGACCTCAGATCACCAAGATTGCGTCGATCGCGACTGTAACGAATCGTTTTCGTGAACGATCCAGCGTGCATTCACGGGATAATACGACGAGTAGGGGTAGTTAACGAGTCTAAATGTCGTCGAGAGTAAAGTGGAAACCCGTGTACGTCGGATTGTCATCCCGAGTCAATCCTGATCGCGGTATCCGAGAGGGCCGCCCACCTTCGACTCCGTCCGGAGGTTTCTCGGGCTTTGGCTACCGATTGAAATCGATGGCGGTACGTGAGAATCTCGCGGACGCCCCTGCGGCCAGCGGCGTTTCCGTGGCGATGGCCGAACCACGGAGAAAAATTCGCGAGGGCTACACGGGACTTTTCCCGAGCCCTCCTCTCGTTCCCGGCCATTTTTCCAATTCCTCCGAGACCGCGTCCCGCCGGCGGCCGTTCCCCCCATCCCGTCGACGATCAGCAGTCCATTAAAGCTTAATAGCCGAAGCATTAGGCCCCAGGGCAGATTTTGTTCCAACGGAAGCGAGATAAATGTGTCTTTCGAATACTCACGGTCCCTGGTGGACCAACGAAACCGATGTTCCCGTACAGCCTCGCTCTCGAGGCGAGACTCTCTATTCAGACCAGGGGAATCCATGGAAAAACGCACAGAGCGGTCCGTAATGCGAAAATTATGTGGAATTTTTCCAACGTGACTAAGATTTACGAAACGATTCGACGGATAAATATTGCCCGGTCCCGGATAGCTCGAAGTAGCCTGCGAGATCTTAGATTTATATTATTGGCGCTTGGTCCGTGAGTAGCTCTCGAGTATCCATTAATCATGGAGGATCTTTAACTCGAGCGTCCATCACTTTAAATTTGTATTAGCCGATAGTTCGCGTTGCGTTTATTCCCCGTGTCGAACGTCTCCGGTGACCCGTGCGTCAGAGGTCCCTTCGAGGCTCCGCGAGCCACACGTGGACGATGACAGCTGCGACCCAAGAGTCCATCATCCTCGCGTAATACATATCCATAGCCATTCTGCGATCTTAACTATATTATTCGTCATCCTAGCGCTGTCAGTCGCGACTTCGTCTGACCCTAACTATATTACTCATCTCTCGTATGTGCAAATATGCTTGGCCCAACTAATTCAGCGCTAAACTTGGAGACTCAAAAAATTCATACTGTTACTATATTATTCCTCTCTAAATTTGCAGCTTAAAAGAATATACAATATTCTACGCTATTTGACACATTCGACTCTCTCAGTGTCGATCTACTTAACCAAATTAACCCTCGAGTGGATGTCAATGTGACTATTTACAAATTTATACAATTCTCCATTAGTTCATTATTTCCTAAACGCTTCGAACAATTTGGTAAAAATAATTCAGTTGTTGGAGTTGATTGAAACTTGGAAAATCTGACCTACACGTATTTTACGATCTCAGCCACTTCTTCGTTTGTCGAGACAAACTCGTTGAATTTCGAGGGTGGACCTAGAAGTCCCATTTTCGGAATGCAATTTCCTCGCTGTCGCGACTGGGCAATCGCGGGTAGCTTCGGGTCAGAGTCGCCGGGTCGCATTCAAATCATCCACGCGCGAGCCGCGTCATTTCTCATACTCTTTTATCCGGAAATATTATACATTTACGAGGAGAGAGAGAGAGAGAGAGAGAGAAAGGCGAGACTCGTTCGAATTATATTAAGCGTCGCTGCCGCTAATTCAGAACACGTTCCGTGGCGACGTCGGGCTGCAACGTCGAGCGTGTGCATCCTCCTCGTCGCGCTTCTTCGTGTCGAGCTAATGACGCGCGTCGGCCCGATCATCAATCATACTTTCATTACGCGGATCGCAGCTGCTCCGCATTGACTCCGCGTGGCCCGCGGCCCATTGTTATTATTCCCCGGGTTCCACGACGGCCGCGTGCCCCGTCGACGAGGATGTTCTTTGCCACGGGGGCCGCGATAACGACGGAACCGCAATCAGTGATTTCATGCTACGGCTTCTAGCCCGATAACGATTCGCGCCCTCCTTCCCGGCTACTGTAACGATCCTCGAAATTAACGTGATTCGTTAATTGAACCTTTCTGCCCCTTACAATTGGGGCGAAACGTCAAGGGGGGAGAAGTGATCTTTGACAATTTTTTTTATAACAGAAGACCTCTATGAAACTTTTCGCCACTTTGCACATATATTCTCTAACATATCGAGATACAAATATATTTTTTTCCTTACATTCTATCGACTTTGGATGAAATGATAAATGTTAGTCCTTGTAGCAGCACTTATGCTATAGTTGCATTTTTTTCCTTTGATCTGGAATAAAAAATCGAAGGATATTTTGTTCGTAATATTACTACGCGAAACAAACGAATTTTTTGGGGGTAAATTGACAATTTTTTAGAATTCTTTGATGCCATTTTTTAATTAAAAAAATGATCTTTATGGTGCAATTTATTCGTGATATATTTGTGCAAGATGGGGGATATATTGCTTATTAAACGGTAGCAGGAGAGCAAGTTTATACGTGGTGGGAAATTAGTGTAAAATTAGCTGCACGCACGTACTCGGAGGTAGTAAAGTCATCGTGCAAGGTTTTAGATACCGCTCCTAATACCGGCCATAAACCTGCAATCCCCTTTAAATCCTACTCCATTCAATCTCACGTATAGTACACAAACGGACAGCCACTCGAACTATAAAATATAAAGCCTCGACGCATCATTTTACGACGTACAAGCTGCCTTCGTGTCTTCCCAAGCTTCAGATTCTAT